GGGGGGGGTGGGCAGCACCGGGAACGCACGTCTGCCCGCTCCCCGGTGCTACGGGAGGCCGCGGAGTTCGGTGCGGGGCCGCGGGGCGGGGTGGGAAGCACCGGGACCGCACGTCTCCCCGGTGTTACATGAGGCCCTAGAGTTCGGTGCGGGACCCCAGGACGGGGTGGGAAGGGATAGGGTGGGCAGCACCGGGACCGCGCATCTCCCCGCTCCCCGGTGCTACGGGAGGCCGCGGAGTTCGGTGCGGGACCGCGGGGCGGGGGTGGGCAGCACCGGGACGACCGCACATCTCCCCGGTGCTAACACGAGGCCCTGGAGTTCGGGGGTGCGGGGCCGCGGGACGGGGCGGGCAGCACCGGGACCGCACATTTCCCCGGTGCTAAGCGAGGCCGCGGAGTTCGGAGATGCGGGGCGGGGTGGGAAGCACCGGGACCGCACATTTCCCCGCTCCCCGGTGCTAGGCGAGGCCGCGGAGTTCGGTGCGGGGCAGCGGGGCGGGCAGCACCGGGACCGCACATCTCCCCGGTGCTGAGCGAGGCCGTGGAGTCCGGTGGGGGGGTGCGGGGCTGCGGGAAGGGGTGGGATGGGGCGGGCAGCACCGGGACCGCGCATCTCTCCTCTCCCCGGTGCTACGCGAGGCCGCGGAGTTCGGTGCGGGGCCGCGGGGGGGGCAGCACCGGGACCGCACATTTCCCCGGTGTTACATGAGGCCCTGGAGTTCGGTGCGGGACCCCAGGACGGGGTGGGAAGGGATGGGGTGGGCAGCACCGGGACCGTACATCTCCCCTCTCCCCGGTGCTAGGACCTCGGTGCGGGACCTCCCGGTGCCCCGGTCTCCACTGGGGGACCCCCACCCGTTCCGAGCTCCACTTACCGGCCGGACACCGTGTTCCTACCGCCCAACTCCCCGGTGCAGCCTCCCGGGGCGGCCCCAGCTGCCCCCCTGCCGGTTCCCGGTGGCTCAGTTGGTGGGGTGGGGTGTCACCCATGGCTGGGGGGGACTCAAAGAAGGGCTGGTGGTCCTTTCCCTCCTGACCTTCTCCTTTCTCCCTCTCAGAAGCTTCACCACCATGTCCGTCAGCAGCCACGAGAACAGGAAATCCCGCTCGAGCTCCGGCTCCATGAACATCCACCTCTTCCACAAACCGGGCCACGCCGACAGCCTCCTCACCCAGCTCAACCTGCTCCGCAAGAGGCACCTCTTCACCGACGTGGTGCTACGGGCGGGCAACCAGGCCTTCCACTGCCACCGGGCCGTCCTGGCCTCCTGCAGCCGCTACTTCGACGCCATGTTCAGCGGAGGCCTGAAAGAAAGCAGGGACGCTGAAGTCAACTTCCACGATTCCCTCCACCCCGAGGTGCTGGAGCTGCTGTTGGACTACGCTTACTCGGCCCGGGTGTTGATTAACGAGGAGAACGCGGAGTCCTTGCTGGAGGCCGGGGACATGTTGCAGTTTCAGGACATTCGGGACGCTTCGGCCGACTTTTTGGAGAAGAACCTCTACCCTGGGAACTGCTTGAACATGCTGCTCCTCTCCGACGCCCACTGCTGCGAGAGGCTGCTGGAGCTCTCCTGGAGGATGGCCTTGGCCAACTTCACCTCGCTCTGCAAGACCGAGGACTTCCTCCGACTGCCCAAAGACAAGCTGCTGGAGCTGGTGGAGAGCGAAGAGCTGGAGGTGGAGGACGAGACGCTGGTCTACGAAGCTGTTATGGGTTGGATCCGCTACGATTTACCCCGACGCCATGAAGTTCTGCCCGAGCTGCTGCGCTCCGTCCGCCTGGCCCTCCTGCCCGAGTCCTACCTGCGGAAGCAAGTGGCCTGCGAGAAGCTGGTGACCAGCCACAAACTGGGGGAGGAGATCGTGGCCGACGCCGTGAGGTGCAAAATGAAGATCCTGCAGAACGACGGGCTGGTGACGGGGTGCTGCGCCCGACCCCGCAAGGTCAGCCAGGCCCTGCTGCTGCTGGGTGGCCAGACCTTCATGTGTGACAAGATTTATACTCTGGATCACAAAACCCGCCAGATCATTCCTCGCGCCGACATCCCCAGCCCCCGTAAAGAGTGCAGCGCCTGCGCCATCGGCTGCAAAGTCTACATCACCGGGGGCAAAGGCTCTGAAAATGGCGCTTCCAAAGACGTCTGGGTTTACGACACCCTCCACGACGAGTGGGCCAAAGCTGCTCCCATGCTGGTGGCCCGCTTTGGCCACGGCTCCGCCGAGCTGGACCACTGTCTCTACGTGGTGGGGGGTCACACAGCAGTGAGTGGCGCCTTCCCGGCCTCTCCCTCCGTCTCTCTCAAGCAAGTGGAACACTACGACCCGCAGCTGGACAAATGGTCCTTGGTGGCCCCTCTCCGAGAAGGCGTGAGCAACGCCGCCGTGGTGGGAGCCAAGATGAAACTCTTCGTTTTCGGTGGCACCAGCGCCAACCAGGAGAAGCTGCCCAAGGTGCAGTGCTTCGATCCCTGCCAGAACCGCTGGACGGTGCCCGCCAGTTGCCCCCAACCCTGGAGGTACACGGCCGCCGCCGTGGTGGGCAGCCACATCATCGTCATCGGAGGGGACACGGAGTTCTCCGCCAGCTCCGCTTACCGTTTCCACAGCGACACTTACCAGTGGTCCAAATTTGGGGACGTCACCGCCAAGCGCATCAGCTGCCGGGCTGTCACGTCGGGCAACAGGCTGTACGTGGTGGGGGGCTACTGCGGGACCCAGCGCTGCAAAACCCTGGACTGTTACGACCCATCGTCCGACACCTGGAGCAGCGTCACCACCGTCCCCTATTCCCTCATCCCCACCGCCTTCGTCAGCACCTGGAAGTACCTTTCGGCCTGAGTCACGAGGAACCTGGAAGGTAAACAGTCACAGATCAACCCAGGGCTGGGTTATAAAACCTCGTTTTGAACAAGGGTTAAACCCCTGGGGGTAGACACACGTGGATCCAGAGTTGTCCTAGAGCCCTGTGTGAACATCAGCTCCAGAAACGTGCTTCCAGGCTGGTAGTTTGGGATCTAAAAAACCCTGCAGGAGAGAGAACTGTCTCTTTAGGTGCTGAAATGCTGCGGGGGGGAGATTAGTATAAATAACAGGACGCTTAACCTGGCATCCCAAGCCCTTCCACTGAGTCTTGGCCTATGCCAGGATTTTGGGGAATGCTCGCTGGGAGGATTGGGTGTCGTCCCTGGTACAGAAAGCTCATGGAGCCCATGGTTGTGTTAAGGGGCAGGCTGTCTGCAGGAGCTGGGGGAGACCGTGTGGTGCCAGGGGGGGGACTGGTGCTGCTTTTAGCTCAGCCTCCTCCTCCTGGTGCCACCGTTAATCTGCTGGTGGCACCCAAATGTCTTGTGGGACGCCAGGGCTGTGAGCTGGTGCCAGAAGAAGATCACAGCTGGGATTTAGTCCCAGAATGGTTGGTAATTGCATTTGTAAGACAAACCCTGTCTGCATATAAACACAGGGTTTCTCCGCTTCTAATTATTCTCTGGTGTCCCTTTCATGCCATTTTTTTTTTTCTTCTTGCTACACAGCCATTAACCTTTTAAAAATTTGCAACTGGAACGAAACCTTTCTAAAGGCTCTTGGCAGAAAAGATGCCAGTGACTCACAGATCACCACAGGTTGTTTTTTGTGTTCTCTTTGCAAAAGATGTACTACCCGAATGAATTTGTGGTAAAATATCCTGCGATACCTATAGAAAATTCTGGGATGGAGAGGGAAATAAGCAGCCGTCGGAGAGGGAAATAAGCAACCTCCAGGACAGCAGCGTTTGAGGTTTTGAAGCCTGAAGGTGGGGTTTGCTGCACGCTGGGCTCATGATGGTTTTTTCTGCATTACAGGCTTCACACCTGATTTTGCCAGTGTCTCCCTTCACCGAGGATCCAGAGGGAAGACACGGGTGGCAGGAGGGTCTCCTCCTACCCGGCGAGTCTGTGACCTGTCCCAGATGCCAGCGTGGATCCCGTGAGAAGCAGGAGGACGGCACCACTTCCCTAAATCCCCTTCCCTGGGGGAGCAGGGAGGGGACAAGCAGGGAGGGACCTCCTTGGGCTGGCAGCTTGTGCTGTCCCTCGAGATGGCAAAAGGTTTCCACGTTTTCTCCTAACTTGTGTGATCTCACAGCAGGAACCAGAGGAGTATTTTATTTTTTTTTTTACTTTTTTCATTTAGTATTTTCTTTTAAGTGATATTTACTAGAAGCTCCTCCAGAAGCTCCTGGCAGCAGGCTCTGGCCCGTGCTGCTCTCTGCTGTGACTGGGAATGCTGGCAGCACCAGAGGCAGTGCCTGAAACTTCTTTAACACGTGACAGTACTTTGCCCATGGGCTCCTTCTGTACATTTATCAATTTGTTGGTTGTTTTCTTTTTTATTTTATATATATATATACAGCAGTTGTGTGTGTTTATTACTCAGCCTGGAGCTGCTTCAATAAATCTGAATAAAATCCACCCTGGCCCTTGCCTGTTCTGTAGGCTTCAGCTGCAAGTTTTCCAAGCCCAGACTGGAGGGAATGTTTAGCAAAAGGGTGAAGAGCAGCCCCTGCTCCAGAGTCCAAACCTTCATCATCCAGAGAGGGCTCAGCTCTTCCTGCATCTTTGTCACACAAGACTTGGGAAAGCTCAGGTTCTGTACCACCTTCCAGCTTTGAAAGACACATCAATCTGTTTAAAACTCGGAAGATTTAGCTGTTCTCTGCCCTTATCTGGTCATCCTTGGTGATCCTCACTCCCAAAAAGAAGGGAGGAAGTGCTGCTGCTTCTCTCCCCCAGGGCTGGGAGCTCCTGGTGGCCCCGGTGGTGGTGGGGGCAGCGGGAGGGAAGGAAAAGCTCTGCTGAGGGTGGGAGGAACGAGACAGGAACGGGCACGGGCAGAGGAAAGAGGCACCGAAGGTGCAACCGACTGTCTGGCCGCAGCAGCAGGGTTTGGGTGGGAGCCATTATTCAATTTCAGAGGGAAATAAATCAATGTCACAACCCTTCCGAGCTGCTTGTGTAGGCAAGAACTGGCAGGACTGGAAGGAAGCTGCCCTGCTGCTGGTGGCTGAAGCAGATAAACCAACTTCATTTCCATCCCGTTTTCTGAGGCCTCTGCCATTTTCAGCCCCCAGGCTGGGCCTTTTTCCCCTTTTTTTTAATCCCTGCTGCACCACCCTCTCCATCGCTTGCTGAGCCCAAGGGGCAGCAGGGAGAGGAGCCCACAGCCTGCCCTGCAAACCCATGGAATGATGGAATTATTGGGGTTGGAAAAGACCTTTAAGATCATCGAGTCCAACCATGCAGAGCTCCCAATGGCTCACACACACGAGTGTGGGCAGGTAAGGACACCCTGCACCCACAGAATCACAGAATCTTCACAGTTGAAAGGGACCTTTGAGATCGAGTCCAACCACAAAAAAAAAAAAACCACCCCAAAACCAAAAAAACCCACCCACAAACAGACAAAAAACAACAATCTTGGGCACTAGAGCACACCCTGAAGTGCCACATCTACACATTTCTTAAATCCCTCCAGGGATGGTGACTCCACCACCTCCCTGGACAGGCTGTTCCAGGGCCTGACCACCCTCCCAGGAAAGTCATTCTTCCTAATATCTGATCTAAGCCTCCCCTGCTGCAACTTCAGACCATTTCCTCTGCTCCTGCTATTATTCACTTAGGAGAAGAGGCCAACCCCCACCTCTCTCCTTTCAGGTAGTTGCAGAGAGCAATGACGTCCCCTGCTCAGCCTCCTCCAAACTAAACATGCCCAGCCCAGGGGACAGTGACAGCCCGGGACACAGCTGGGACCAGAAGCCAGCAGAAAGCACTCAGGAAGGGACCTCTGGAGATCATCTCCTCCAACCCCCTGCCAGAGCAGGTCCACCCAGAGCAGGTCCCACAGGAACGTGTCCAGGTGGGGTTTGAATGTCTCCAGAGAAGGAGACTTCACCACCTCCCTGGGCAGCCTCTTCCAGGGCTCTGCCACCCTCAAAGCGAAGAAGTTCCTCCTCATTTTTAGTTGGAACTTCTTATCTTCAAGTTTGTGCCCATCTATTCACCTATTTGCCCATATTATATTTATTTATGTCACCTTTATTCCACCTGCAGCTATTCCTGAGGGTGGGACAAAGTCCAACTTTTCTCAGCGAGTCGGGGGAGCGGCAGCTTCATTCATGGCCATTTGAGCAGCAGCAGCATCTGTTTTGTTTACGCTGCCAAGCAATAAGCCCTGGCTCCCGGCCCACATCCGCCTTTTCCAGTGGGGACAAAGTGGCTTCCAGCAGCACAGGGAGGAGGGGAGGGGGGACAGAGAAGTGGGGGGGACCCCATCTCCCTCCTGCTCCTGGTGTGGGGGTGTCACCCAAACCCTGAGCTTGGGGTGACACACTGAGCTCGGGGAGCCAGCCGCCCCGCTGCTCTGAATCATTTCCTCCTTCCAAACTATACTTATATCTACATAGAAATTTTTTTAAAATTTTTTTTTCAGGGAAAACCGGCATTTCGAGCGCACCTGGGCTTGGCTGCTCCGCAGAGGGAACAAAGGGAGCCGGAGCTGCCTTGCCTTGCCTTCATCTTCCTTTCAGCTGGCAGAGAGCCCCACGCTGTCCCTCCAGCTGCACCTCCTCCTGGCAGGAACCGGCTCCCAGCACGCCCTGGGGAAAAACAAGACACCTTTTTTTCATTTTTATTTATTTTTTTTTTTTTTTCCCTCCCCCTGCACAGCACAGACCTGTTTTCCCAGTTTGACATTTCCACAGCATCGATCCAATCGCTGCTTCTTCAGCGCCGGGGCCAGAAGGTTCGAGGCCAACTGGGCCACGGGTGAATTTGGTGTAGGGGTTCATTTGGTTACTGGGACAGAAATCCTCCTGAATTCATAGAATTCATTTAGAATCTCTATATAACTCAAAGCCGGGCCCCTCCTCTGAGCCCCAAACCCCACTCCGTGGCTGTTCCCCTCCAGCTGCAGGAGCTGGACCCCAGCCCATGGTCACATCTGGAAGAGGCAACACAAAGGGGCAGCCCCAGGCTGGAAGCCAAAGCAATCCCAGCGTGATATCGCTTCTCCCAGGGGATGTTCCTCTCCTTGCACAAAGCCTGTGGGTCACCACAGCCCCGAGAAACACGGCGTCGCACCGACCCACCTCCCTCCTGCCCACAGGATGGACAACCAGCCTTCATTTTAAGTGAAAGACACCGCTTTTTGGGTGCGTAGCTGCATTCTTCTCGGCGGCCCCTGAGTGCTGAGTCAGCACACTGCCTTTCTGCCTCCTCCACTCAATGGGCAGCGCTCTTAATTGCAAAAAACCCACATAGCAGTACCTGAGAAATGCCCTTTTGTTCTGGCTAAGATAGGATTCGGGTCACTGAAGGGTTCCACAGTGCTCCCACCACACTTCTAGCAAGGACCTGGAGCAGATGCTGCTGTCACAGCGACAATCCACGGCAACTTTTGTTCTGGCTAAGATAGGATTCGGGTCACTGAAGGGTTCCACAGTGCTCCCACCACACTTCTAGCAAGGACCTGGGGTAGATGCTGCTGTCATGGCGACAATCCCAGGGAAGAAAAAGCACTAATTGCACACGGGGTGAGGTTTGTCCCTGACTTCACGTGTTCTAGAAAGGGAAAAGGACACTTCACAGCTACCTGCCTGAAATCCCCCTGAAGATTTTGCATCTGGGATAGCTTTGGGTCTAGCAACACGCCATGGAAAGGCACCAGCTGCTGCTCTGACATGGGAGAAGCACGTCAGCGTGGATTTCTCCTGCTCCTGGGTACATGGAGCCGTGTAACAAAGCAATCCCTGCCGTGTCTGAGCCTCCCGTGCCTGTGACACCGTCCCTGAGCCAGGGACACGCACACCCCAGCACTGCCAGCTCCACGGGGGTTTGCCTTTTATCCTCTGCCAGCTCCCCTGGGCCCAGAAGAAGCAGACAATGAGGGCACCACACAAAGACCAGACCCACATCATCCCCAGTCCCTTGAGCCCTGAGCCGGCCCCATGGCTGGGACGAGAAATTAAACCAGATTTGAGTCACAAAGGAGGGGGGAGTGAGGAAAGGGAAAGGCAGAGAAGCAGCACATTCCCACTGCCAATATCCTCTGTGCGTGTTTGTCCTCCAGCATCTGGCTCCTGATGGGTCTCAGATGCGCGTTATGGGAACCATCAGCGGCGTCTCAGCCACATGAAAGAGGAAGGTTTAGCATAAAGCTGGTCATTGCCCATGGCCTCGGCGTGATTCATCCCCAATAGAAAGAATGTGGTTTGGGTTTCGGGTTAATTAGCTGCAGATTTTCCAGCGAGACAAGGCAGGGAGGAGCTGCTGGAGTACTGGTATGAGCAAGTTAACAGCTCTTGAAGGCACCGCCACCCGCCCCAAAAATCACACCCTGCCTGTGGCAAAGGGGGGGACGTGTTTGTCAACGACACCGACACCGTCAGTCCCGGTGTGTGCCACCACCGAGGGAACATCGCCCACCTGGTGGGACAAGAACTGGAGCACAGCACAGAAACACCCTCCCAGGCACCAACACCGAGCACCAGACTTCCAAGAGATGCAAATTTTGCCCCAGAGTTAAACTTGCCCCTGCGGAGCTCCAGGCTCTTCCCGGTGGGAATCCACCCTGCAGGGATCCCTCTCGGCCACCCTAACCCCAGATCTCCCTCATCCCAGCTCTTCTGTCCTCCTAGAACCAATCCCTACAGGTCTGACACACGATTATGGCTGCAGGAGAGGGCTGCGAGGTTAGAAAATAAAAATTAAGCAGCTCCTCGTAACTTCTGTCCCAGAAGTTTCAGCCGTCCCCCCATGAAATCACTTTGATTCCACTTTTTGCTGCTGAAAAAGATTTAGAAAGGAAGTTCCAGCCACGGAGAGGGAGATGTGGAGGTGCACAGAGGCAGTGACCTCCAGTGGCCACCACGGCCCAGCTCCCTGGAAGCCCAGCGAGCCAGAAGATGGCAGGAATTTTGTCTCAAAGGCAGCACAAGAAACAGCTTATCCCCACACACACCTTAAAATCTCATTCACTAACACACCAGTCTGTTGCTTCCCATAAAGATCAAGTCCTATTTTAAATACTGATGTGCCAAGAAGGTTTTGATTATTTAAATACATTGGAAAAAGTAGAAAAACTAGGGTTTTTTCCAACCGAGTTCCAGTTTGGGCCTCAACTCAGATGTCAGCCACCTGAAAAAAGCTTGACTGTGTTCCACTGAGCTCCTCTGGGGATGCTCAGAGAAACACAGAGACTTATCACTGCACTGAGCAATTTCCAGAGGTCCAAAACTGGCCGAGGGTTTCCCCTGGACCAGGATTTTGAGGATAAAAATCAACCCTCTTCCTTCGAGAGCACCAAGCCCCAAGTCCTCCCTCTCTCTCCCCAGTTTTCGCATCTGCTCCGATCTCCAGGATTTTATTTGAGGCTGCGGCCCCAGCTGCCAACGTGCC